CCGCCCGAAAGCCCGGCCACGGGGCAGCAGGAGCCCGGGAGCACCACGGGCAGGGACATGGACGGCCGGGGAAGGAGCAAGCGGCCGCTGCACCGAGGGGACGCGGGGCAGAGCCGCGGGCGCCACGCACTGGGCGCCTCGGGCAGGCGCGAGGCCGAGGGAGGGGAGGAAATGCGCACGGCTCGACTTCTCGCCGCCGCCGCCCGGGCTCCCGCCGGCCGCACCCACCTGCAGCCCGGCGGGTCCGCCTCCAGCCAGCCGGCCGCACCCTCGCTGCCCGCGCACACCTACACGCGCCCTGCGCCCGCACCGGCCACACTCCCCCGGACTCCAAAAGGGCGCCCCGCACCAGTGTTTCCAATAAGACCCCCGCCTGGAAAAGATAGTGCGTGAGGGCACCACCCAACCGCTAAGACGCTAGGACTCTCTCCTCCACCGGCCTATCTGGGGCTCGAGGGGAGCGCAGGGGAAGTCTGAGGACCCCTCGCCTCGCTTTCCGATAGCCAAGACAACTCCTCAACTTTTAGAATAAAAGCCTGGCTTTAAGCTCCCACCCCATCCCCACGAGAGGCGGATGGCATGGGAGCAGCTTTGGGGATATTCAATGGGAAGAAGTCCCTGTTCTGGGAAAGCGGGACCTGCCTGGACTGTATCTGCGCGGCGCTTCCGGACGCCGGTACAGCGCTGCAGCCCAGCCTCCTGGAAAGGGATTGAGAGAAGGGAGGCTGAGGGTTCTGGGACCGGGTAGGAGAGAGCGCATGGAGACGAGGTTACACTTGGAAGCGCACAGTTTCCAGAAAGATCACGAGGCGGCTCTGGGAGTATAAATAAGGATTACACTTTGTCCCCCTCGCCTCGACCCATGAGATTATTAAGCATCACCTGATGGAACGGGATCTAACATTCCAAGGAAATATCTTTTTAAAAAAATTCTAATAGCATCATTGACTACTTGTATGGTAATTTATGAGACGTCTTCAAAGCTTAAAAAGATGATGATAATGGCTCATCTTTGTAATTTCCGCTAATAGTGGACTTTTGTCTGGGAAGAATTCTAATCCTTGAAAGTGTTCTTACACACAAAGTGATTTTAATTGATTTTTCTCGAGAAGAACCAGTGCAAGGTTGCTTTGCAGCCTGTCAGTCCCAGTATTTAGACGATTTGTCTTCTCACTCTGGTGGAGCTAGTGAACTTTCTTCTGCCTGCCTACACTAAAACTGGTCTTATCTTTCATTACTTAATTCAACATACAATATGATATATTATCAATGCATATTTGTGTTTACATGAACATTTTTTCAATTAAAGCACTTGTGATTAATCAATTGTCGAGTCAGAACCGACTCAGGTTTAGTGGCAGTAAATCTCTTGGCAGGAAAGTGCCCAACTTTTTTTCTCACAGCAGTGGGTAAATTCGAATTGTCCACCTTTGGCTCAGCAAGGCAACTGTCTCCACTAGGCAGGATATCAAAACCCTCAGAATTAATAGTTCTCAGGATTTCTTTTAGAGAGTTATCTAGCAGCCTAGTGGGCAAGGCGGTGCTGCCAGGCCAAAGTCAGGCGATTGCTCGGCACTTGCTCTGCAGGAGAAAGATGGCCTCTAAAAAGCCCCACTGGAGGGTCAGCTATGTATGAGACAGTTCTGACCCAAGGGCAATGAAAGAGGTAGACTGGGACGGGGGTGGGGGGGGCGGGGATTTCTTTCCTTACTGCAGAAGGAACTCGCCCCCAACCAATAACAGCAACGGAACTTCTTTTACAAACTGCTTTCATAAATAACTTCATATTCTGCTTTTTCAAAATGATCGTGGTCTTGCACTTTAAAACTATTTTACTATATGTGTGTGTTGAAAGTGATGGTGATTTGAAATTAAAAGCTGCTTAGGCTGAGTTTTTATTTATTATTTTACACATAAATTTGCTGATAATTGACCCTGCTCATGGCAAGCCCGTATAGAACTGAAAGTTTCCCAGTCCTGATCACCTTCTTGGTTGGTGCACTTTAAGTGCCTCGTTAAATGCCTTTCAACCTAGGGGCTCATCTTCCCCCCATGATACTGTGTAATATTCAGTTGCAATCCACAAAGTTTTAGTCACCTAGCTTTCAGAAGTGGACCATCAGACCTTTCCTCCCAGTCTGCTTTAATCCGAAGTCCTGCTAATGTCTCCCCACCCTGAAGAACTCTCTGGTAGTCCAGATATTAGTGGCATAGCTTCCACTATTACTGCAACGCGTAAGCCACCACAGTGTCACTGATAAGACAGGTGATAGATACATAAACTTAAAGGCAGTTAATTTTAAAATTCTGTTGTATCATGTAATACAAAATAGGGAGAAGTCTAAGACTCTGGGGTTCAAGAAGGATGGGACTCATAGAAGTCACTGGTGTGGGAATGTGAGAGATCTGACCTGAGTCTTGAGAAATTCTGTCAGCGTGGCAAATTCATGCCAGTTCCTGTTACCTGAAATGGACGTTTAAAAATGGATTCTTAGCAATACAGGTGTCAGAAGTCAGGCTGGCCCACTTCACCTGGGGTTGGCCAGAGGAAGTTTTCCAGGTGTTAAGAATCTACTTCTTTTTATTTTTATTAAATTTTATTAGTTTTAATGAACATTTACAGGGATTTTGGGTTTTCATTCCTTCATTACTGCACCATTCTTTCTGCCCTCCTCCCCAGTTTGTTCTTCTTCCCTGCCATCTGAATGTCTGTTTTAATTGTCCAATTGCCACAGTGCTTGTCAAAGTCAGTTCTGATTAATCTCCTTTGTCAGTGTGTCCTTTGCCATTCCCTATCACTCCTCCCTGAGAGAGACTTCACCCTGAGTCATAAGGAAAAGGGGATGGCGTATTCTCTTAGCTACTTCCTGCTGAAAAGGGACGCTGTGGGTTTCAGGGTGAAGATCTTCTCTCACTACTCTAAAGGGCCCCTTTGGCAGTAGGAAACACATAGACTATTATGGAGATAGATTTTGGAATTTAGATGCACTGTTCTTAATTGTACTTAGCCGTACATGTTCATATCCCTGAAGATGTATCATGGGGGGGTTGCAACCTAGAAGACACAAATTTAACTAACAAGTTATAAGTACATGAGTCAAAAATTATGGAAAAGTAAAAGAAAAGATTCTTTCATTGTTTTACAAACCCTCCCCCAGGTCCCCTCCGCCGTGTAGCCCTCGCTCTAGACTCCTGTGATGTCAGAAATACCTAGTCACATATCTCTTTTACACAGTTTTCTCCCTCCTCTGTTTCAGTGCAGTATACATTATTGAACACATCTTACTCAGTCTCTCCCCAACCCCGAGGTTAGTCCCATTCTACAACAGTGGCATCATGTAATATTTGTCCTTTTGTGACTGGGATATTTCACTCAGCATAATGTTCTCCAGAGTCAACCATTTTGAATAATATTGCATGAGTTCCTTGTTTTTTAATGCAGCATAGTATTCCATTGTGCGAATATACCACAGCTTCTCTAGCCATTTGTTTGTTGATGGGCACTTAGGTTGTTTCCAACTCCTTGCTATTGTGAACAAAGCTGCAATAAACATGGGAGTGCATATATCTGCTTGGATGTCAGCTATGGTCTCTTCAAGGTATATTCCCAGTAGTGGAATTGCTGGGTCAAATGGTATCTCTATTTGCAACTTTTTGAGAAAGCGCCATACTGCTTTCCACAGGGGTTGCACCATTTTACACTCCCACCAACAGTGAATCAGGGTTCCAGTTTCTCCACAACCTCGCCAGCATTTGTTGCTTGCTGTTCTGTTAAATTTTGCTATTTTGACTGGGGTGAGATGATATCTCATAGTTGTTTTAATTTGCATCTCTCTTAGGGCTGGGAATTTTGAGCAAGGAATCGACTTCTTGACCTAGGGGCACGTTATATGCCATTTGTGCACTTCTCCAAATGTTTTATTCTGAAATAATTTACAATACTTTGCTCTTGGAAAGGGAGGAGATGTCTTTTCCTATACAAAAGTAGATGTATAGTAGAGGTAACTGGAATTCCTACATAGGGTGGTGTTTGGGGGGTGTAGGGGGTTATGGAATTTCAACTTAATTTTATCCAACAACTTGGTTTATTTTTTTTAAGGCAAATAAACCAAAGATACTAATTGGAGCCATTGTACAGTAATTATCTTTTGTGGTTGTTAGTCACATTTCTGTTTCTTTTTCTAATAATCATAAGCATGAACTCATGTAGCAATGCCCTAGCCCTTATGCTAAATAATGCCTACAAATAGTAGGCCTTGGAATTTTATAACCCAAGCCTTGATTCCTCTTACCCTCTGTTTAAAAAAAGTGCATAGTTTACCTGATCAAACTGTGTAACTGAGCTCTTAGGGAATATCTGGAGCCATTTCAGGTTGACTTGTTATAAAAAAAATTAGTGGGGAAGGGCTTGTGGCGAATTTGATCATATGCTTCACTAATGTGGGGGGAAGTTCAAGGAAACAATAGGTGTGGTGCATTGTTCCAGGCAACTCAGTTGCCAGTTTCACCTCAAGATGGAAGCTAAGTTGCAAAAAAGGCTCTTAATGCCTCCCTCCACACAGCACATTTTCCACGCAGTGAGCTCAGGAGTCCAGGCGCTTGCTCAGATTTCTCTGCACCCCTTTAGACAAATCCCTTCCTCCTACCTATTTATGTAAACCTAATCTGAGATGGTCCTTAATTAGAAGCTCTATGATGACATGTGGGAGAAGGATGGGCAATCTCCTCCCATGCGATTAACTGCCCCTGAAAACCCACCAGAGGATCAGCTATGAGTCGGTTCCAACTCTATGGTATACACCACCAACATGAGGACATAGTCCACA